CTACATTGCAGGAATGGTTTTTTAAAGTAGCTTATCTGGCAGAAATGGCAAAGATTTCGGCTTTCTTAAAGCAACAAACGCAAGAGAAGTTTTTTGCTATCTGGGACAAATGGATAAAATTTATACAATTTAGATTGGGTATACAAAAATATTATATAGCTTTTTCATAAGTTTTATTTTTATATATATTATAGATATCTTTTTTATATATATAAATATAAAGTTTTTAATTTAATTTTTATTTTTTTTTTTTTTTTTTTTTTATTATTATTATTTCTTAAGCCTATATTCTGCTCTGGGAAGCTCAGGGGGGGGGAAGGGAGGGTTTTTGGGAGGGGTGTGGGGTGGGGGTTTTTTTTATATGTATTGTTTAATTTTTTTTTCTTTTGTATATGTTGTTTTTTGTTCTGTATTGTTCTTGTTTTTTTTTTGTAAAATTTATAAAACTTTTAATAAAAAAAAAAAAAAAAAAAAAAAAATATATTTCCGCTCTTCTCTGCTTTTCTGTCTCCAACACATTTATCCAGTGGAGTTATTGGATGCATTTTTATAACAGCTCTGCACCACCCTGCTTGCAAGGAATGGAGACACGTTTCCTAAATGGAGAAGAAATTTCCCGACAATTAGAACAATTAATCAGTGGGACAATGTACCTCCAGAAGAACAGAAACAACAGAGTTGGAAGGGAGCTTAGAGGTCATCTAGCACAACCCCCTGCTCAGGCAGGAAACCCTATACCATTTGAGACAAATGATTGTCCAATCTCTTCTGAGGTCCGCCAAGACCCTCCTGCTCATCCAGCCTCTGAGCAGAGTGAGTTTCTTGGCGGGCGGACTTTACACCCAGATACAGAAGAACAGAGTTGGAAGGGACTTTGGAGGTCATCTAGTCCAACCCCCCTGCTCAAGCAGGAAACCCTATACCATTTCAGACAAATGGCTGTCCAGTCTCTTCTTAAAAACTTCCAGTGTTGGGGCATTCACCGCTTCTGGAGGCAGGTTGTTCCACTGATTAATTGTTCTAACTGTCAGGAAGTTTCTCCTTAGTTCTAGGTTGCTTCTCTCCTTGGTGAGTTTCCATCCGTTGTTTCTTGTTCTGTCTTCAGGTGCTTTGGAGAATAGCTTGACTCCCTCTTCTTTGGGGCAGCCCCTGAGATACTGGAAGACTGCTATCATGTCCCCCCTCGTACTTCTCTTCATTAAACTAGACATACCCAATTCCAGCAACCGTTCCTTATATGTTTTAGCCTCCAGTCCCCTAATCATCTTTGTTGCTCTTCTCTGTACTCTTTCTAGAGTCTCAACATCTTTTGCAAATGCTCCAACACTGGAAGTTTTTAAGAAGAGATTGGACAACCATTTGGTACAGGGTTTCCTGCCTGAGCAGGGGGCTGGACTAGAAGAACTTCAAGGTCCCTTCCAACTCTGTTATTCTGTAAAAAAAAAAAAAAGCAGCTGTCTGTCAAAGAACCAGTGCACTGTAGTAGCTCAGATGTTGAACTTGGTTTGGGCAGATCGAGGCGTGAGTTCCCACACATTCAGAGACCTGGGAGTCAATTCCTTTCGCTCGTCTTGCGGCTGGAGAGATAAAATGAGGGGAGAGCTTTTTTTGCCCTCTGAGCTTGATTGTTTCCTTGCAGACATTTCATTACCCAAATTAGATCTTTTTTTTTTTCTTTACTTCCTCTTTTACCACTTCGGGTGTGGAAGGAGATACCAAGTTCTTGTTCTTGCCCATTGTTGTTGATACTATTATCACCTGTCTTTGATGTTGCCTCTATGTCTTCTAGGTCTGCCTCTTGTTCTTTGAGTTTCTCCTCTTCTTTTTGTATATGCTTTGTAGGGTCTGGAATCCCCAGACATCCTCTCTATTTGCTGGTTTTGTATCCAAGCACCGATGATGTTACCTCGTTTGGGGAACGAGAGGTGTGCAAGGAAACCGCCAAGCTCAGAGAGGACCAAGGACCTCACAGTTCAACCCTGAGCTTCAAATATTCTTCTTTAGGGAGACTTTTCTACTTCACTTTCAGCCCTCCAAGGAAAGACCTTGGTGCAGCTAATGACAATTAGCTTGTGAGCCAGAGGGTCAAGTTCTCCCCTGGTTCCTAACACTAACAATGGCATGGCCTGCAGCTATTAGCAGCTAATGATCGAGTTGATTGGGCTTTCTTTAGCTTCCTGATCTGTAGCCCCAAATGCAAAGCGAAAGGAAAGTGATGGTAGGAAGAGACCTGCCTGGATATCTCCAACAAACAGTGCCAGGGACCCAGTTTCCTTAACGTCTTTCTGGAGATTCTCAGTCATCCAGGTCATGGTTGCCCCAAAAGTGCTTTTCCAAAAGGCAGCTGGACTTTCTTTGAAAACATTTTGCTTCTCATCCAAGGAACTCATGCATCAGAACTGAAGAAGCTTCTTGGATGAGAAGCGAAAAACAAGAAAGTCCAGTTGCCTTTTGGAAAAAGTACCTTTGGGACACCCAGTTTCCTTAATTTTTCTTGATGGTATGTGAGCTTAGACATAACGTTAAGCCAGTATTTCTCAACCATGGCAACGTTAAGGTGTGTGGACTTTTACTCCCACTAATCAAGGAGAAAACCAACTTAGAACTAAGGAGAAACTTCCTGACAGCTAGAACAATGAACGACTTGCCTTCAGAATTTGTGAATGCTCCGTAACTGGAAGCTTTTTAGAAGACACTGAACTGCCACTTCTCTGGTATGGTCCTATAGGATCTCCTGCTTGAGCAGGGGTTGGGCTAGAAGACCTCCCAGGTCCCTTCCAACTCTGTTATTCTGTTATTTCCAGATTTCCACATCCACTCCCAGAATGGTGGTTTAGCCAGTCTTGGTATGGGTAATATCTCAATGACTACCTTTTGGGGTGACTGCCCCCCCCCAATTCTCCTCCTGCTGCTACCGGCAGCTACAGCTATAGGATATTGCTGATTTCTGTTGCTGTTCCCTGTTGGAAGTGGACAATTTGTTCTCTGCTGACCGGGGAGAAGAATGCCAGGCCACCGACCAAGGTAGACCGTTTTCACTCTTTTTCCCCTCCCAGCAAAGAAATTATTTAGTAACGATCTGTTACTACAGTGGTTCTCAACCTTTCTAATGCCGCGACCCCCAACCGGTCATAAGTCAAGGACTACCCAACTGGTCGTGAGGATTTTCCCTGCCCGGGAGTGCCGCGCATGCGTGGTGCCGCCCCCTGCGCCGGCCGAGGCATAGCTGGCAAGCGGCAGAGACGGCGCAGGCCAACCACCGGCTGGACCACCAGTTGGCCCAGTCCAAGGGAGGTAAGGCACCCACCTGGCCCCACGCGCGCCAGCAACCCTCCCTGCACCCGCCGCTGCCTTACCTTGGCCACCGCACGTTTGGTGCGGCGGCAGGCAGGCCCAGGTGCTCCTGGGTGGCCATGGCACACGGCAGCAAGGGCGCAGGCCGACCACCGGCTGGGCCACCAGCTGGCCCAGCCCAAGGGAGGTAAGCCACCCGCCAGGCCCCACGCACGCCAGCAACCCTCCCTGCACCCGCCAGCCTCCCACCTCCCACCCCTGGCCCTCTTTTACTTACATTTTTAGTAGTTGCTCAGCAGGGAGGGGTGGAAACTTCCAGACAGCTCGCCTTTGCTGCAGACAACTTGCAGCACCGTTTGCAGAATGGGACTTTTGGCGGGCTCAGCAGGGCAGAGACAGCTGGACAATTCCTATTGGCTTTTGAAAGCCAATAGAATTAGACTCTATTCAAGAGAGTCTATTCTATTGGCTTTCAAAAGCCAATAGAATAAAAGGGAGTAGCACAGCTAAGGAAAAGGGGGGGGGAAATGGCGGACTGCGTTGTTTGGCGACCCACGTGAAATGGTCGTTCGACCCCAAATGGGGTCCCGACCCACAGGTTGAGAACCGCTGTGTTACTATATATTCAGAAGAAAAATGGGGAAAGCTGGCTGAGTTTCCCAGAATTGCTAGAAGGGAAGAGGAAGCTACAAGTGCTCCCCATGTTCCAGTGCTCTAACTGGTCTATTTCTATCTCCCAAAGTTCTGGCTGGGGAATTCTGGGAGTTGAAGTCCACACATCTTAGAATTGTCATGGTTTAAGAGAGACTGTCACAGAGGTTCTTTCCAGGTCTGAAGCTGGTCTTTTTCTTAAACATGATGCTGGCCTGTTTTTTTTTTTGTTTTTTGTTTTGCTTTGTTTTGTTTTTTGTTTGTTTGTTTTTGCAGATCAAGTTTCTGTTCACTTTAGATACAAAACTTTAGAGACAAAATTTGGACAGGCAAGAGAGTTGTCTATTCCGTTCACCGTCTGGTTTTTGCAGCTTTACCACTAACCCAAGGGTAGGCAACCTTGGCTCTTTTATGACTCGTGGACTTCAACTCCCAGAATTCCTGAGCCAGCCATGCTGAGGGGAAAGGGAGAGGTTTCCAAGCTGAGCCATGTTGGCTCAGGAATTCTGGGAATTGAAGTCCACGAGTCATAAAAGAGCCAAAGTTGCCTACCCCTGCACTAACCCAAACAGTGGAACCTCTGTGGAAAAAAAAAGATTAAAAACAAAAACCAGCAATATATCCTTGGCAGAGTCATGTTCTCCATCTGGGTGGTACTCGCTTCCCCATAAATATTGGCAGAGCTTATGTACGTCCACTGTGTCCCTATTTAATGCTCCCAAATATTGCTACATGTCTTCCTTTTGGAAGATAAGAAATGCTTGCCTTGCTTAGCCTTATGGAACAGCCTGAATAGACCCTTGGCTGAGAAAAGGAAAAGAGAGACGAGATGCAAAAGTCATAAGTGAACAATCAATTCCACTCTGGTGCGGCATGATTCCCCATGTTGGCTGGGGAATTCTGGGAGTTGAAGTCCACAAGTCTTAAAGTTGCCAAGGTTGGACACCCTGGTCTAAATCATATTATGATTTAAATATTTCTTTATTTGATTGCTTGTTTATTGAATTTATATGTCATCGATCTCACTGTCACATGACTTACAATCTGATAAAACAATACTCTGGTTTCTCTTCAGATCGTATAAATCTTTCGCCTTTTACTAAAGATTTCCGTGGAGAGGAACATTTATGAGTTTTCTGTTTCAAATGTTACCGATTTTGAAAAATGAGATTAACTTAAGTGAATGGCAAAAAGGTATCAATAAATTCATTTGGGCAGGGAAAAAGCCAAGGGTTAAGTTTAAAATCATGCAAGACTTCCGTGAGAGAGGTGGACTCAAGGTACCGAATTTGAAATTATACTATGATGCGGTGGTTTTAACATCAATCAGTGATTGGGTAAATTTAACAAACCTTGAGATACTCCATTTGGAGGGATGGGACTTACTTTTTGGCTGGCATGCCTATTTAATATTTAATAAAAAAGTGGATCGGGCTTTTAAATCTCATATCATAAGAATTTCTTTACTTAGGGTTTGGAGAAAATATTATAAAAGTGATTTTAAAGTACCACTATGGGCTATACCTTGGCATGCGATAGAAGGAATAAAAAGAGGGGTTAAAATGGACATGGTATCTTATACACAGTTACTTAGATGGGATGGACAAAATTGGCAGTTAAAACTATTGGAAGAGTTAGTACATGAAAACATTACTTATTCTTGGTTTCAATATAGGCAATTAGTAGATAGATGGAAGATGGATCGTAAGGTGGGTTTTCTCAGAGAAGATGAAAATCTTATTAAGCAAGTGAAGGACCAAAGACTAACTCATATTAAGAGAATTTATGGGGTTCTAGTGGAATTGGATTCAGAAACAGAATTAATTAAAGATTGTATGATCAGATGGGCGCAAAATTTTGGTGAACCAGTCTTACTGGATACCTGGGAAACCATTTGGGTGAGAAATGTTAAATTTACACAAGCACAGAATTTAAGGGAGAATTTTTATAAAATGTTTTATAGATGGCACTTTGACCCACAAAAAATGTCTTTTATGTACCCTGACCTACAGCCTAAATGTTGGAGATGTGGTTGTTTGGATGCCACCTACTATCACATTTGGTGGTCGTGTAGAAATATAAAAGCCTTTTGGATTAAGATATGGTGGAATATTCAGAGAATTTTTAGGAGGAGGGTAAAATTTACTCCACAATTATTTTTGTTAGGTATAGTTACTGATTGTGACACAAAGGAGGTTATATTGATGTTAAACTTGATTACAGCCGCAAGGCTGTTAGTATGACAATACTGGAAGAAGGAATCTTTGCCTACTCTGCAGGAATGGTTTCTTAAAGTGTCTTATTTGGCGGAAATGGCAACGATTTCGGCTTTTTTAAAAGAACAATCGCAAGAGAAATTTTTTGCTGTTTGGGATAAATGGATAAAGTTTATACAATCTAAATTGGATATAAAAATATTATTTAGCTTTTTTATAACTTTTATTTTTATATACATACATATATCTTAGTTATACTCTCTTTTTTCATATAACTTTTTTATTTTTTTTAATTAAGCCTATATTCTGCTCTGGGAAGCTCCGGGGGGGGGAGGGAGTGGGTGTTTTGGGGGGGATAGGGAAAGGGTTGTTTTGTTTTGTTTTGTTTTGTTTCTTGTCTATGTTGTTGTTGTATTGTTATTCTTCTGTTTTTTTGTTAAAATTTATAAAAATTTTCAATAAAAAAACAATATTATCAAAGTTTAGAATCAGAATCAGCTGGAAGGGACCTTGGAGGTCTTCTAGTCCAACCCCCTGCTGAAGCAGAAGACTCTATACCATTTCAGACAAGTGGCTGTCTAATCTCCCCTTAAAAAGCTCCAGTGATGGAGCACCCACAACTTCTGGAGGCAAGCTGTTCCACTGGTTAATTGTTCTCACTGTTAGGAAATTTCTCCTTAATTCTAGGTTGCTTCTCTCCTTGATTAGTTTCCATCCTTTGCTTCTTGTCCTGCCTTCAGGTGCTTTGGAAAATAAGTTGACCCCCTCTTCTTTTTGGCAGCCCCTCAAATACTGGAATACCACCATCGTGTCACCCCAGTCTTTCTTTTCTCTAGACAAGATGTACACAAATAGAATAGAATAGAATAGAATAGAATAGAATAGAATAGAATAGAATAGAACTGGAAGGGACCTTGGAGGTCTTCTAGTCCAGCCCCCTTCTCAAGCAGGAGAACCGTCTTATACCACCTCAGACAAGTGACTGTCTAACACAAGGATCTGCAACCTTGACAACTTTAAGACTTGTGGACTTCAACTCCCAGAATTCCTCAGCCAGCACCTCAACCTTGGTCCCTTTAAGACTTGTGGACTTCAACTCCCAGAATTCCTCATTCTGCTGGCTGAGGAATTCTGGGAGCTGAAGTCCACAAGTCTTAAAGTTGTCAAGGTTGCAGATCCTTGTGTTAGACAGTCACTTGGGATGAGACCTTCTATTTAATCCAATAACCACCTCCAGAATGGCACACCCCGTTCCGGGCATGGAAACCAACCTTTGCATCTTTACATCGAAATTGGCAGCTCTACCCAGACATTAGTATCAATAGTTGCCCAGCAAAAGAAACGAAATCTACGTGGATTGGGTCAGCTGATTGTTTTTTTCCTGGAGGAGAAGAGAGGGAGGAGGAGGAGGAAAGGGCAGGAAATGTGAAATTGGACCCATTTTGTTCCTGATGGAGAGGTGGGCCCGGTAAGAGCTGATGATGGGATTGTTCTGCTGATGAGCTGGCACCACTTTGCACTCTGTTTTCAGGGGGCTAAAGGATCCTGCTGGGTGCCAATTGGATGAGATGGAAGTGAGAGGAGGAGGAGGAGGAGAAGGAGGAGGAGGAGGGGAGGAAAAGAGGAAACAAGGGGTGGACAAACTCCTTCAATCTTGATTAGACTATAGCTTATTTTGCTGCAAAAGGGCAACTACCTGGAAGAGAGTATGTAGGCTTCTTGTGGGTTTCCAGATCTAGGCTGAGCAGAATCATAAAATCATAGGGCTGAAAGGGACCTATGAGACCTTCTAGTCCAGTGATGGCAAACCTTTTAGAGACCGAGTGCCCAAACTGCAACCCAAAACCCACTTATGCATCGTCGGGTGCTGGGTGGGTTTAGCCCATTGGGTGGGCATGGTTGCGGTGATAACAGCAGACTGGGTGGGACTAAAAAGTTCAATCAATAAATTCCAACTTTGCAAGATCTTTTTTCCCCCACGAGAAGTTGAAATTGATTGATTAAACCTTTTTTTTTTTGCACACGGAGGCGGAGACCTAAAGCGAAAAGATTTTATAAAACCCAGCTGAAGGCCTAGGACTGGGGCGACGGCGCACATGCCCACAGAGAGAGTTCTGAGTGCCACGTCTGGCACCCGTGCCATAGGTTTGCCATCACTGTTCTAGTCCAACCCCCTGCTCAAGGCAGGAACCTTATATCATCTCAGGCACATGGTTGCCCAGTCTCTTTTTGAAAACCTCCAGCAATGGAGCACCCATAACCCCGGAAGGCAAGCTATTCCACTGATTAATTGTTCTCACTGTCCAAACATTTCTCCTTACTTCTAGATTGGATTTCTCTTTCATGGTCTCCCACCCTTTACTTCTTGTCCTGCTTTCTGGTGACAGGTGATGTGCTAGGTTGGGAAAATGTTGGTTGGTTGGTGGCCACCGTTCTTTCTTTAGAGATTCGGTGCAAAGCAGATCCTGTCTCAGAAAGGGTAGAGCTGAGAGCAGAGTGGCTTGGTGCCTTTCAGAGGTTGGCACCCTCATCCCCAGACTGTGTACCCCATAATCTCAAGCTGGAGAAAACCAACTGGCATCCACGTTCCTTTCCAATTTTAACATTCAATCATTTCCTTGCACACTTTTCTGGCAAATAATCTTATTCAAGCAGAGGTTTCTGTTTATTTCTGAGCACTGGGGCATTAATAAGGGGGGGGGGGGAAACCCTTCCTTTTTGCACAAGTAGCACTATTGCTTTGTTGTTCAGTTGCTCGGTTGTGTCCGAGCAAGCCAGGCCCCCTGTCCTCCATTGTCTCCTGGAGTTTGCCCAAACTCATGTCCATTGCATCTATGACACCATCTAACCATCTCCTCCTCTGCCGTCCCCTTCTCCTTCTGCCTTCCCTCTTTCCCAACATCAGGATCTTTCCCAAGGAGTCTTGTCTTCTTATTCGGTGGCCAAAATTTTTGAGCTTCAGCTTTAGGATCTGTCCTTCCAAAGAACAGCCAGGGTTGATTTCCTTTAACATTGATTGATTTGATCTCCTTGCAGTCCAAGAGACTCTTAAGTGTTTTCTCCACAATTCGAAAGCATCAATTCTTCATCACTCAACCTTCCTTATTGTCCAACTCTCACATCCCATTTCGGAAGAGTTTCTTGACTGCCGATGAGCAAGGAAGAAAGGGGAAAACTCTGCCTTGATTTTTGTTGTTGTTCCATCACTAAATCGTGTCCAACTGTTTGTGAATGCCATGGATCACAGTACGCCAGGCACACTTGTTCTCCGCCGTCTCCTGGAGTTTGCCCAAATTCATGTTCATTGTGTTGATTATACTATCTAACCATCTCATCCTCTGCCGTCTCCTTCTCCTTTTTCCTTCCATCTTTCCCAAGACCAGGGTCTTTTCCAATGAGAGCACTATTGCAAGGGGACTTTAAATATTTATTTACTTACTTACCTAATATGAATATATTTATTTTATTAAAACAAGTCGTTATGGGCTGCCCAGCTCATACGCACAAGTCATTATGGGCTGCCCAGCTCATACGCAAGTGACTGCAGGGTAACATACAACATTAAAAATCCACAACCTGTTGTTAGTTGTGAAGTCGTGTCTGATCCATCGCAACCCCATGGACAATGTTCCTCCAGGCCTTCCTGTCCTCTACCATCTCCATTTAAGCTCAGGCCTACTGCTTCAGTGACTCCATCCCGCCACCTCATTCTCTGTCGTCCCCTTCTTCTATTGCCCTCAATTTTTCCCAGCATCAGGCTCTTCTCCAGTGAGTTCTTCCTTCTCATTAGGTGGCCAAAGTACTTGAGTTTCAACTTCAGGATCTGGCCTTCCAAAGAGCAGTCGGGGTTGATCTCCTCTAGGACTGACCGGTTTGATCACCTTGCAGTCCAGGGGACCCGCAGGAGTCTTCTCCAGCACCATAGTTCAAAGGCCTCCATTCTTTGGCACT